TATAGAAATTAGGATTTAAAATAGCAAACACACACAGTGTATTACTAATGAAAATAAGGATTACAAGCTGCTTACAAATGAGGCCCTAGGCCGAAATTTAAACAAGTAAAAAGGGGAAAGAAAATGCTAAGTTCTTTCCTAATTCAAATCACAAACACATTCATTTGCCTTGTCCTTTTGTGGGATGGATTTCAAAGGGTTGTGATGGGTTATGGAGGGATGGGTTTCAGCCATATATGGGTGTAATATGCTATGGGAATAAAGGGTGATATTAATGAGATATGTGGGGGATTTTGAGGGTGATATTTTCGGCTCGTATATGGGGCAAAGAGGGCTGGATAATATGGTGTAATGTGATGTGGGAGATTGGTGGTTGGGGAGGTGATTCATTCGGCCCACTCAAGGGACAAAGGAGAGTGAGTGGTGTAGGTGTTTTTGGCTTGGTTTGGTTGGGGAAGATGTGGTGGTTATAGGGTCAAAAGTGTAGGAAATTCCCTTGTTGTTTTGTGCCTTGGAATTCGGCACCTATAGAGGACAAGGGAGGGCCACAAGTTATTGGATGTTGGGTGAAGGAAAGGGGCTGTTTTGTCTTGGTGTGTTTTGGCCAGGCTAGGGGAAAAGAAAGGGGAAAGACTTATGATTTTAGGGAGAAAGGTGTAATATTGATGAGGTGAACTAAGTAGGGTCATATGGTGGGTTGGTTTTCGGTCAAAGGAGAGAAAAATAAGGCTAAGGTTTTATGGGTTTATTTTTGGATATTGGTTTGGTTTTGGTGCATGTCATTCGGCCATTTAAGGTAAGGATGGGTCCATGGTTAAAAGGGTTGGGTTGTATGTCTTGGTAGTGATGAATTCATTCCAGAAAAGATCATAACTTTTAGACATTATTCCGTTGATTTATTTAATGACTTCGGGTTCTGTAGTGGTGCCCGAGGATATATCATCTAGGGTTGGGTTGGACGGAGTGGGGGTTGGCTAGCGGAACCCTTAGGTCAAAACGAAAGTTATTTTGGCCTTTCGGGCTAAAGGACTTTGAATTCTAACTAAAATGGATCATAATGTTTGAACCTAAGTCCTTTGTGGTTTTCATGAGGGTGTGGGATATGGGGGAGGGTATGATAGGGTCGGGCCTAGATATATCACCGCAGCTTAGATATATCGGTACGAAATAGGATTGCTTTAGGGACAGTGGGGATTTTGGTGTTAACGGATAAAAGATAAATTTCTTAGCATTCACCACGAATGAGTATGTGTTAGCAAACCCGTCGTAGATAACTCTTCAATCGAATAACCATGGCCTCCCAAGAAGGAGATTACAAGCTTTCATGGGGATAACGTCACACCAAACTTCATCTTGATAAGACTGACCCATTCTAAAAGAAATCAAGCTACGTGTATTCACATGTACTCCTTCATCAAGATTCAACCATTGAATCTCATAAGGCTCCGGGTGCGGCAACGTCTCTAGATTGAGTTTTTCCACCGTTGTTCTGGAGATAACATTGGCACTGCTTCCACTATCGATGATCATCGAACACACCTTTTTTTGAATGGTGCATCGAGTATGAAAAATACTCTCTCGGTGTGTGGTATTATCCTAGGCAGCCGCATGACTAATGGTCTTTTGAATGACCAAAAGTTCACCTTCATCGGGGCCGACGATTTCTTCTTCTTTGTTCCGCTCTCCTTGAACCCAAAATGGATTCATTTCTTCTTCTTCACATTCGACAATAGCCATGATCTTCTTGTTTGGGCAGTCACTAGCATAGTGACCAATGCCTTGGCAACGAAAACACTTTTGCATTCGGCTATTTGATGAACTCGGTTTTGAAAGAGGAGGAGCACTTGGTGAGGAAATAGGGTGCGCGGTTTTAGGATTTTGAGGGGAAGGGGTTGTGTGGTTTTGGGCATCAAGAGGGGTGGAATTTTATATGATTGGGAAGGAAGAAGTGCCACGGCTCAAAGAAGATTTGCCCTTCTTGAGTTGGGCTTCCACTTTAAGTGCTAACTTGGTTAACTCTTCAAGGGTCTCAAAGGTTTGCAGCTCCACAGTGTTGGCGATTTGGGTGTTTAGGCCAAAGAGATATCTCACAAAAGTTTGCGAGTCATTCTCTTGGAGATCACACCGCATCAAGAGTTCTTCAAACTCTCGGTTGTATTCTTCTACCGAGCAATTTCCTTGCCTTAGATGTTGAAGCCTAGCAAATTTTTCCCTTATATAATGAGTGGGAATGAACTTCTTCTTCAATAAAGCCCTCATCTTGGTCCATGTTTTAACAGCAGCCTTGCCTTCTCTTTTGCGCTTGGTGGCAGTGTTAGTCCACCATGTGGATGCGTAGCCTCTGAATTTTAAGGCCACAAGCTTGACCTTCTTGTCCTCCGGCACTTCGGTATAGTCAAAGACGCGTTCAATCGTCTCTAACCATTCAATGAAATCATTCGGGTCATCTTTTCCATCGAAGGTTAGCATTTCAACCTTGAAGTCAGAGGAAGACTTCTCTTGGTTGTTTCTTCTCATGGTGGGAGAAGGAACTTCTGACCGGGCGTCTTCTTCTTGCTCATCTTCGTTTTTTTCTTGAGTTTTGTTAGGAACCAACTCAAGGTGAGAAGAGAGGAGAGGGCTGGCCGAATTGGATGAGGAACAAGAGGAAGTTGAGGGTTAGTTTGTGACTGAAATGTGATGGAAAAAGTAGATATTTTAAGGGGGAAAGAGTGAGGGATGAATGGGAGCAATGAAGTAGGGTGTTTGGGCTTGGAATCTTGGCTAAGGAGTGAGAGTATAGGGGTTGTTACAGTGGGCAGTGAGTAGGCCAAATGGGAGGAAGAAAGGGGATGATTTTTCTAGTTGTTTTCTTTAATGGGGATAAACCAAGTGGTGTTAAGGGATATTACACACCCTTAACTTACTTGGGGTTTAATCTAGTATTCAAACAAGATATTACACACTCATTCAAATAACTAGAACCTAAAACTCACACTCAAGAGAACCACTCTTAAGATATAGATTTAGGAATTTGAAAAGCAAACACACAAGTGTATTACTAACGAAAATTCATAATACAAGATGATTTTTACAAGGCCTATGGCCGAAATATATATAAGCACACCAAGGGGATGTTGAAACACGGATTTATCACGTTTTCGTACTAGAGTCGTGTTCGTTGTTATGACAGGTTTTGATAATGCCAAACCGCCGTGAATGAGACAAGTCGTTGAATATACAAGGAGAGAAATAAATCTAAGAAGAAAGAAAGAGAACAAGAGCTAAACGAAGACCAAGAACGAAGACCTTAGTCTTAGGATCGTTGAGTCGGTCTTTATTGTGATCAAGACCGACCCAATCTTTATACCTTGGCTCTTTAGGCTAAATTCATTTCATTGCATTTCTTGCATCATAAAAATGTTTTTCAAACATGTGTAAATCATTAAAAACACTTGGTGTTCGCCCAAACCAAAAACCAAGCCATCCAGTGTTCGGCTTTCAGAAACCGGCATTCGGCTTTCGGTTATCGGCATTAGTTTTTGGCGTCCGAACCAACCAAGTGGTTTTCAACTTTTTATGATTGGCTTTCACTCTTTGGCATTTTTAAACGGTTCTCCAACAAAAACACTTTGAAAACCATCTTTCGCTTTTGGTCGTTTGACAAAAACCACGCAAAACGGCGTAAACTTGGCTAGCCGTGGTTTTTACTCAAATGAAGTGGTTTTTAAAGTAACTCACTTGATTTCTTAGCCAAATACATCAAATAAGTGTTTTAAACACTTGGTTTTTATTTTGGAGAACTTTGGATTTTTCGGTCAGTTTTTGCATCGGTTGGCTAGGCCGTGGTTAAGGCAAAGACCATGGGTTTTTGGCTAACCACCCACCCAGCGATGGGAAGATCTTCCCATCGATGGGTAAGCGGTCCCTTAGCGGTCCCTTGGTGCAACATTATCACAAGGCAGAACGACCTTGCCCAGCGATGGGAAACCTATCCCATCGATGGGGCGATGGTAAGGATAAACCATCGATGGTAAGGAATGACCGTTGGAAGTCATTTAAGGTTGATTCTTTCCTTGTTTGCAAGTCAACCTCCCACCCAGCGATGGGAAGCTTGTACCCACCGATGGGTAGGTTACCGTTGGCTTCAAAACTGAAGGAAAATTGGCTTACCAGCGATGGGTAAGTTCAAAACATCGATGGGAAGCCAATATCCTGCAGATTCCAAATTTATTCAATCCCATAAATCAAGCCAATCACCCCTTTAATGCATTGGTCCGTTGGAGCCTATATTGGCACTATAAAAAGGGGTGTTTGGGTCTGGTTTACATATCAATTCACTTCACAATATTCATATTATCATTGCATCCAAACAACATTATTTTCCATAGCTTTCTAGAGCCAATTTGTGTGAAGTTTGAGTTGTTCTTGAGCGTACTTAGTTTACTCATAATCCACTCTTAAAGAGAGTCTTGTTCTTGAGTGTTTAGTGTTGTATACACGTTAAGGAAAGCCTGTTTCCCTTGGTTGTACGAAGGAAAGGTATTTTCCTTTGGGTTGAAGTCTTGGAGTGCGGTATCTCCGAGCAAGTATTGTTGAGGCTCGTGGGACTCGAGTTCTCAGGTTGTAACGGTTTGTTAAGAACCCGTAAGCTTAACGGAAGTAGTGTAGCTCGAGAGAGTCTCCTGGGAGACTGGATTAGCCACACGTTATGGTGAACCAGTATAAATCTTGGTGTGCTCCCTTTACGCTTTCAACGCTCTTTACTTTTCACATTCTTATTTTTTTTCCTGCGATTTCTACGATCAAACGCTATTCACCCCTCCTCTAGCGTTGGTCTATTATTCTAACAATTGGTATCAGAGCCTAACTCGCGTCCAAACTTAACCGTTTGAGAGTAAAAGCGATCATGGGTTCTTCTTCTAGAAATTTGTACGCAGGAATAGGTGAAGGGCAATTAACTACACGGACACCTCTTTTTGATGGAACCAATTATACATACTGGAAAGAACGAATGAGAATCTATATTCGTTCCACAAACTTCCAATTATGGTTGGTTATCAAAAACGGGGAAGAGGTGCCGATGAAGAAAGTTGGCGACAAGTTGATCCCCAAGACCGAAGACGAGTTTGATGCCAAGGACATCAAAAAGGTCGAGAATTATGCAAAGGCAATAAACATGCTCTATTGTGCCGTAAATCCTGATGACTACCGCAAGATCTCCTGCTGCTCAACCGCCAAGGAGATGTGGGATAAGTTCGAGGTGACGTACGAAGGAACGGACCAAGTACATTAAGCCAAGATTGACTTCCTCACCCAAGAGTATGAGATGTTCAGGATGAAGCAGCACGAGAAGATTGACGACATGTTCGACCGTTTTTCCAAAATAGTCAATGATCTTCATGCATTAAAGAAGACTTACACCGACAGGGATCTTGTGCGAAAGATCCTACGGAGCTTGACATCCGGATGGCGATCCAAGGCCGATGCCATCTATGAATCAATCGGCACATCAAATGTCACCATTGACGGTCTAAGAGGTAATCTAAAAACTTATGAATCTACTATTCTTAACCCGTCTTTGAATGACCAAAGGAAAGGGATAACATTAAAAGCCATCAAAGAATCAACAATGAATGATTCAAGCGACGATGATGAAATCAAGCTTGTCATGAAGAAGTTTTGCAAACTTCTAAAGAAGAAAGAAAAGGTTGAGGATGGCCATGTGTGCTATGGATGTGGTGAAGCCGGGCACACCAAGAACAAATGCCCGAAAAGCGGAAGGAATGCTCGGCACTTCAAAAGGCAAAGGGCATATATCTCTTGGGGTGGAGACTCCGCCGATGAATCAAGCGAACAAGAGGAAGAAGAGGAAGCAAATCTTTGTCTCATAGCTCAAGAAGAAGAGGAGTCCGCCAACAACAAAAACCAAGAGGTACGTATTACTTCTACGAGTTTGCTAGCGCTTCTAAAACCAACAAAGCTTTAAAGAAACGTTTTTCTAATCTTGAAACTGAGTTTGAAAAACTTCAAAAGAAAAACGAAAAACTAAAAGAGGAAAATAAATTTTATGGTAAAAGAAGCGCCGACAAACCCGAGAGCTCTACAAAACCTTGTGACTCTTGCATAGCTTTGAAAGAACAAGTTGCTGAATTAGAAAACACGGTGAAGAAATTTAATAAACCACATAAGGATCTTAATCTCATTTTTTATTCTATGCAATACACTAAACAAGGAATAGGTTTTGGGAAGTTTGATGAACCTAGAAATAAAGAAAAAGTTGAGCACAACCGTAAACCACCTAGAGCTCAACCTAAGAAAGATAAGAATAAAAATAATAGACAATCTAGACAAAAGGTTAGTCGTGAACACGAGCACTCTAGGCAACCTAGGAGGAATTATCAAAATGATTTTATGCACAGAAATAATTTTAGAACACCTAGAAGAGAGAATTTTCAAAATACCCAAAAACCAATATTTTCTCAAAATATGATGAATATGGTGAGATCTCCCAGCTATTACCAACCTAGGCATATGTTCAACCCAAACGTAGTGTTGTACCCGAGACCCGGGGTGGTCTAGGATATCAACTTAAGAAGAGGAAGAAGAAGAGAAGGATGTAGAAATATAGGGGAGGCTGAATTCAGGAGGAAACAAGGGAGAAGGAAAGAAGCATTTATCAAGTGAATAATAAGAGGAATCACACACACTTATCTTCACTCGGGTTAAACTCTAGTATTTAAATAAGGAATCACTCAACTTATTTAATATATCTAGAACATAAAACTCCCACTTAAGAGAACCACTCTTAAGATATAGAATTAGGATTTAATATAGAGAACTGAGCAGGAAACATATATTATCACAATATATTTTACAAGCTGATTAATACAATGAACCAGGGCTGAAATATATAGGCCAAGGAATAGAGAAAGCAATACAACAAACATGATTACATAATAAATAAAATACAACAAAGGAAACTTCCCACTTCTTTCCTACAAAATAAAACAAATGTTTTGCATGTGTTAATATCCCAAATGAGTTGAATTCAAAGGCTAATAATCTGGGATTTGGCATGTATTTTGGGTGGTCTTTATGTATGATTTTCGTCCTTAAGGTGGGAGAATAAAGGAAACAACATGGCTTGGCTTTTAGTGAATAATAGGACAAGATATTACTATTCAATCAAAGACTTTTTGGGCAGGCACATGGATGAAGGATTAAACTTTGTTTTGTATTGTAAAAGTCTTTGATTTTGTTGAATAATAACATGAGAATTTCGTCCATGGTGTATGGCCAAGTTTGTTCCTAAATGACAAAACATTTCTTGTTCAATAAATGACCATTTTACTGATTTCTGAGTTCAGGGTTGTGTGATAATCGATTATCGCCTACTGATAATCGATTAATAAGATACGTTTTCTAACCCAGAATTTTCAGAGACGTCAAATAGTCGATTAACTCTTCAGGAATAATCGATTGACAAGGACTGGTTCATCAAACCGGATATTTTCAGAGATGAGTGTTAATCGATTATCAATTGGGAGATAATCGATTATGAAGCATTGCTGGACTATGTTAGGAGAATTCAGAGGGAAGCAATAGTCGATTATCTATGTTGGATAATCGATTATATTGACAGAAAAACAAACAAAGATTTTATTTTGCCTTTTGTTGATCACCTTCGGCCTAGGCTCAGTAATGAATAACAAAGACTTTATTTTGGACAGATAAAATGATTTTTGATGCTTGTGGGAGAAGGTTTGTGGGTTATAATTCGGCTTAGGGGGGGTTTTGGGCAGCAAGGGTTATGGTTTGGGCTTTTTGATGGAAAGAAGGAATGAATTCAACCCAATAAGGATTATAACAATTAAGCATTAACTCCTGATTTTGCTTACCCTTTGGTGATTCATGGTGGGGTACAACACGTAGTATGCCATTATTGCAATAGGGTAGGACACATAGCACCCGTGTGTTTCACCAGACATAAGCACTTGACCTTTAATGAAACACACAACATGTTCAGTGCTAACGAAAAGAAATCCTTTGGAAAAGGATATTCGAATCATAAACAATCTTCACAGGATAATGCACAAAAGAAACCATACTATTTCTTCTACTTTGACGAAAAGAAGAAAGTCCACATTCCATTACCGGAACCAACACAAATCACACCGAGATATCGGCACTCCGTTCAGGTAGACTGGAACCCGCCAACCACGAGACGATGGGTTGGCCAAGGTAACTCCTAAACAATCATTTAATCGTGTGTGTGTGTGTGTGTGCATATGGAAACATATTTTGGGTGTGTGTGTGGGCAATAAAGGTAAACTAACCCCCAAGGACCCATAGACATACTTTGGGTACCAAAGTGTTGTCTTTTTTGCAGGTACGTATCAAAGTGAGGAACTCAGGGGGAACCAGTGATGGGTGGTTTATACCATCGCTGGGAAGGAAGTGTTTTCTAACCAGCAGCCCTCTTCCCATCGCTGGGTGTTTGACACTAATTTTTTTTTTTAAAAAAAAATTAACGAATTTCCAGAAGCCACCTTCCCATCGATGGGAGAATTCAACCATCGCTGGGAAGGCAAACTTGATTTCTTTCTCGATTTCCAGTAGCGGTCTTCCCATGGATGGGAGAACTTTACCATCGCTGGGAAGGCTGCCTTCAATTTTTCCTCCATTTCCAGTAGATGGCTTCCCATCGATGGGAGAACCTTACCATCACTGGGAAGGTTGCCTTCACTTTTTTCCTCCCTTTCCAGTATTTGTCTTCCCATCGATGGGAGAACCTTACCATCGCTGGGAAGCCTGCTGCAGTTCAAAAATCATAGCCGTTGGGAACCTCATTCAATGCCCAACAGCCATATTTTTGAACATCAAGGGCCCAAATTCTCTTTTCCTATAAATATTAACCATCCTTGGTCATTTTTAACACACAATTCACATTCCTCTTGCATACTTTAAGCCTCCACTCACTTTCTAAACGATTCATCAATGGCCAAAGGAAAGTCAAGGACCAAAACCGAGGCTTCAAAGAAGAAGGCCAACACCGACGCCACGACCTCTTCTATATTTTCTCCTTATTAAATATGATTGTATTTTTATCCGTTGTATTCCGCATTTCCCTTTTAATGAATAAAAGCTTACTTTTAATTCTTTTTTTTAATGTCAAAAGGGGGAAGATATAAAGGTTATGCATAGATTGAGGGGAAACTTTTTCTAAAACTAACTCTTATTCAACACATAAACTTTGTTGAAAAGAAAATTTCATTTATTAAGGGGGAACATTTTTAAGTCTCAAATTAATCCTCCTCTGCATAACCCCGTCTTGTTTGCCATTATCAAAAAGGAGGAAATTGTTGAAACACGGGTTTATCACGTTTTCGTACTAAAGCCGTGTTCGTTGTTATGACAGGTTTTGATAATGCCAAACCGCCGTGAATGAGACAAGTCGTTGAATATACAAGGCGAGATAAATCTAAGAAGAAAGAAAGAGAACAAGAGCTAAACGAAGACCAAGAACGAAGACCTTAGTCTTAGCATCGTTGAGTCGGTCTTTATTGTGATCAAGACCGACCCAATCTTTACACCTTGGCTCTTTAGGCTAAATTCATTTCATTGCATTTCTTGCATCATAAAAATGTTTTTCAAACATGTGTAAATCATTAAAAACACTTGGTGTTTGCCCAAACCAAAAACCAAGCCATCCAGTGTTCGGCTTTCAGAAACCGGCGTTCGGCTTTCGGTTATCGACATTGGTTTTTGGCGTCCATACCAACCAAGTGGTTTTCAACTTTTTATGATTGGTTTTCACTCTCTGGAATGTTTAAACGGTTCTCCAACAAAAACACTTTGAAAACCATCTTTCGCTTTTGGTCGAAAATGTGGTTTTTAAAGTAACTCACTTGATTTCTTAGCCAAATACATCAAAAAAGTGTTTTAAACACTTGGTTTTAGTTTTGGAGAACTTTGGATTTTTCGTTCGGTTTTTGCATCGGTTCGCTAGGCCGTGGTTAAGGAAAAGACCATGGGTATTTGGCTAACCACCCACCCAGCGATGGGAAGATCTTCCCATCGATGGGTAAGCGGTCCCTTAGCCAAACCAACTTCCAGAACCATGCCAAACAGCGATGGGAAGTTCTACCCATCGCTGTTAAAGCCTTGGTGCAACATTATCACAAGGCAGAACGACCTTGCCCAGCGATGGGAAACATATCCCATCGATGGGTACCCAGCGATGGTAAGGATAAACCATCGATGGGAAGCCATGACCGTTGGAAGTCATTTGAGGTTGATTCTTTCCTTGTTTGGAAGTCAACCTCCCACCCAAGGATGGGAAGCTTGTACCCATTGATGGGTAGGTAACCGTTGGCTTCAAAACTGAAGGAAAATTGGCTTACCAGCGATGGGTAAGTTCCAAACATCGATGGGAAGCCAATATCCTGCAGATTCCAAATTTATTCAATCTCATAAATCAAGCCAATCACCCCTTTAATGCATTGGTCCGTTGGAGCCTATATTGGCACTATAAAAAGAGGTGTTTGGGTCTAGTTTACATATCAATTCACTTCACAATATTCATATTATCGATGCATCCAAACAATATTATTTTCCATAGTTCTAGAGCCAATTTGTGTGAAGTTTGAGTTCTTCTTGAGCGTACTTAGTTTACTCATCATCTACTCTTAAAGAGAGTCTTGTTCTTGAGTGTTTAGTGTTGTATACACGTTAAGGGAAGCCTGTTTCCCTTGGTTGTACGAAGGAAAGGTATTTTCCTTTGGGTTGAAGTCTTGGACAGCGGTATCTCCGAGCAAGTATTGTTGAGGCTCGTGGGACTCGAGTTCTCAGGTTGTAACGGTTTGTTAAGCACCCGTAAGCTTAACGGAAGTAGTGTAGCTCGAGAGAGTCTCCCGGGAGACTGGATTAGCCACACGTTGTGGTGAACCAGTATAAATCTTGGTGTGCTCCCTTTACGCTTTCAACGCTCTTTACTTTTCACTTTCTTATTCGTTTTCCTGCGATTTCTACGATCAAACGCTATTCACCCCTCCTCTAGCGTTGGCCTATTATTCTA